TAATAATAATAATAATAATAATAATAATAATAATAATAATAATAATAATAATAATAATAATAATAATAATAATAATAATAATAATAATAATAATAATAATAAAGTTGGAAGGGACCTTGGAGGTCATCTAGTCCAACCCCCTGCTCAGGCAGGAAACCCTATACCATTTTGGACAAATGGCTGTCCAGTCTCTTCTTAATAACTTCCAGTGTTGGAGCATTCACCGCTTCTGGAGGCAGGTTGTTCCACTGGTTAATTGTTGAAGTTCACAAGTCTAAAAGTTGCCAAAGTTGAGGACCCCTGAACTAGCAAGTTAAAAATGTGCAAGTGACCAGGCAAACAGTTTAGTTTTCTAGCTATTGTTGAATGGAAGCAGAATCCGGTACGGCATATTGAAGAAAAATGATATTCAAGGGAAGACTCTGGCCATCAAATCCCTTTGAGGAAAGCAATAGAACCAGTTATTTGGTCAGTTATTCCTATCATTTTTTACTATTATTGTTACTACTGTTTTTATTGCCACAAAACCTCACCCTCCAAGAAAGAGTAAGCTAGGCTGTAAGCCAGGGGTCCGCAAACCTGGCCACTTTAAGACTTGTGGACTTCAACTCCCAGAATTCCCAAGCCAGCCATGGCTGGCTGGGGAATTCTGGGAGTTGAAGTCCACAAGTCTTAAAGTGGCCAGGTTTGAGAACCCCTGCTGTAAGCCATTGATTTCTTAAGTTCCCTGTATATAGGAAGTCCTCGGCTTACAACCTTAATTGGGATCAGAATCTCCCCTGCTAGGCAAGGCCGTTGTTAAGTGAGTCGCACCCGATTTTCCAACCTTTTCTATGCCACGATTGTTAAACGAATCACTGCAGTTGATCAACCGAATCCTGAGGTCGTTAAGCGAATCTGCTTCCCCCATTGACTTTGCTTATTCGGAAGCTGGCTGGGAAAGCGGCAGGCTGATCCAGTGACACGGCAACCGTCGTAAACGCATGCTGGTTGCCAAGGGCCTGGGTTCTGATCGCGTGGCCATGGGGACGCTGCAATGCTCATAAGACACTTTTTTCACTGCTGTTGTAACTCCAAAAGATAGCTAAACTAGGGCTTTTCAACCTTTTCACCCATTGTACCACTTTTAGGATATGGCAACATCCGAGTACCACCAGTCGCCTAGCAAGGTGTCAAAAACTTGATGACCAAAAAAAAAAAAAAAGTGATAAAGTACAGGTAGTTCTCGACTTACAACAGTTCGTTTAGTGACTGTTCGAAGTTACAATGGCACTGAAAAAAGTGCCCCCCAAGCCACAGCCGAGCAAGACACCTGCCTGCCCACCTGGCCGCGCTCTTCCTCCTGTCCGAGATTTCCATTGTTGTGACCATTTCTGTTGAGGATTGGCAGCAGGGGTGGGGTGGGGGGGTGTTTGGTTTTTATTCCCCCCTGTCTGCTGGGTGGCTGCAGCAGGTTTTGGTCACTTCACATGACCCTGGGACATTGTGACCGTCATAAATATGAATCAGTTGCCAAGCATCTGAATGTAAATCACAAGACCCTGGAGATGCTGCAACATTCCAGCTGATTGGCACTTCTTCTGGGCTCAGCAGAAGCACCAGGATCAGTGGTGAGCTCCAGCTGGAGCCCGGCACTGATCCTGGCGCTTCCGCTGAGCCCTGACAGCCCTGCAGCTCCAGCCGTCTCTCGCTCAGGCTTGTGTGGTGCTGCCACCGGTTCAGCTCATTCCCCTCCCCCACTACCACTTTTCTAGGATGGTCGCGTACCACCTGCCAGGTGCCAATGTACCACAGGGGGTACCCGTACCACTGGTTGAAAAGCCCTGCTTTAAAGGATAGCTAAACGAATGGCTGTAAGTCCATCCGTAACCCAGTGAGTGAGTCGACTTGTTCTTCCTGTTAGCCAAAAGCCCTGTCTATCTTCACTGCAAAGGCAGTGAGAATGTAGTATCTGGTTCCTCAAACTTCCCTTCCTAGCCAGGGAAGCAACATCCAAGGAACATCTTCCCCTGCTGAAATAATCCTCCGTTCCTACTCTCATCGGAACCGAGATTTGGGAATAAAGACAAAATCATCACTAAAACAGAGGTCAAGGGTCTCCAGTCCTGTCTGCGTAACTTTCCACGCGCAAAAGCAAATTTCTCTTTGATTCTGCATTACAGATAGCCCTTGACTTACAGCCATTCATTTAGTGACCGTTCAGAGATAGGACTGCTCCTGGCCCTTTGCACCATCCCCCAATCACAGGACCGGAATTAGGGTGCTCTTGGCAACCAGCACGTATTTATGACGGTTACAGCATCCCAGGGTCATGTGATCGCCATTGGCGACCTTCCCAGCCAGCTTCTGACAAGCAAAATCAATGGGAGAAGCTGGATTTGTTTAAGGACCATGTGATTCCCTTAAGAACGGCACTTAATTGGGGCAATAAAGGCCGTAAAATCGGATACAACTCGCTTAGCTGAGCCGTGGTGGCGCAGTGGCTAGAATGCAGTATTGCAGGCTACTTCTGCTGACTGCCGGCTGCCAGCAGTTCGATTCTCACTGGCTCCAGGTTGACTTAGCCTTCCATCCTTCCGAGGTCGGTAAAATGAGGACCCAGATTGTTGGGCTGACTCTGTAAAAACCGCTTACAGAGGGCTGTAAAGCACTGTGAAGCGGTATCTAAGTCTAAGCACCACTGCTACTGCTATTAACAACTGCTTTGTTTAACAATGGAAATTCTGGTCCCAACTGTAGCCGTAAATCGAGGACTACCAGCCCTGCGGCTGTGAGAAATAGTTGCTTGAAAAAGCAGGGAATGAGATCCTTGTTATATAATGTGAAGGAAGCAATTACGACACCGTTTTAAGGGTGGATTATCAGAACATCAACAGCCTCAAGGGCCTCGTCCGTTTCCCTGCTTTAGCTCCAACGCCAGTTATGGGTCATCTCTTTCCGATGCTTCCCCGCAGACCTTGGTGCGCCTACCACATGGAGGATGGTGGGGTTGCAGCCAATGATGAAGGGAAGGCTTCGAAACCCTTTGATGCGGTGAGCAATACGGACCGGCAGCTCATGGTGCAGGTAACGGGCGCTTTTCTGTAGCAAAACATAAAAGGGAGATTG